TTTTTTTGACTAGCTTATTCTCTCAATAGAGGAGTGTCAAAATCTCCCAGTATGATTGTGGATTTAACCATTTTTTCTTACAATTCTGTCAGTTTCTTCTTATATATTCTCAAGTCATGTATGCAGATTTAGAATTGGTAAATCTTCTGGGCAAATTAAAATTGTTGTCTTTATGAAGTGTCCTTCTTTATCCCTAGGGATGCTCATTGCATAAAAGACTACTTTGTTCATACTAATATACTTATACCAGCATTCTTTTAGAAGTGTTTACATGGCATATCTCCATCCTTTTACTTTCAACCTATCTTTATACTTTACATATGTCCCTATTTTTTAAAACATTGTATCTCTTGTAGAAAACACATAGTTTTATTTTTAAATCCAGTCTGATAATCTTTGCCTTTTAATTGGATTATTTTTATATAATGTAATTACTAATATATTTAATTAAATATGCATTTTTCCATTGGTTCTGCCTGTTCCAAATCTCATTTTCCTTCATTTTTGGCCTACTTTGAATCCATTGAGCACTTTTTATTATGCCTTCCTTCTCTTTTTTGACTCAGAAGTTACACACGCTATAATTATTCTCCTAAGGATCACCAGCATGGGTTACAACATGCATACTTTACTTATCAGAATCTAATATTAGCTGGCAATTCTACCTTATTCTTGGATAATGCAGACATTAGAACATTCTAATACACTTTACTTCCTTCCAAATCAGTCCATGGCCCACACTCAAGACCTACAGGCGATTATTGTTCTGTGTGTTAATTCTAAATCTCATAAGACATTATTATTATTGTTATATAATCAATATACATTTACATTTATGCAGTTATTTGCATTTCAGTTTCTCTTCATTTCTTCCTGCATTTTTGAGTTTCTATCTGGGAATTTTTTCCCTCTGCCCAGAGAACACATTTAGTATTTCCTTTAGAATGAGTTAGATCTGTTGGGTGACATATTCTTTCAGTTTGATTGTTTAAAATATGCTTATTTCACCTTTATTTTTGAAGGTTATTTTTGCTGGGGGTAGCATTCTTTGTTGAGAGTTATTTTCTTTCAATTTTTGAAATATATAATTATTTGTATTCTGCATTCCATTCTTTCTATTGAGAAGTCATCTGAGAATCTTAGTATTACCCTTTGAGCTTACTTTGAAGGTAATCTTTTTTTGTCTGATTTAAGATTTTTCTCTTTCTCTTTGACTTTCTTTTATTATACTATGGCATGGCTACGGGTAAATTATATAGATGATACATACATATAGTTATATATGTGTGCAGGTGTATGTAGTGTGTGTGTGTGTGTGTGTGTGTGTGTGTGTGTGTATATGTGTATGTGTGTGTGTGTATTTATATATTCATATATGATCAGGGGTTGAGGTGACTCGAATCTGTGCTGCAGCTCTTGGGAGGGCTGATCTACTTATGGTTCATCTTTGAGTTTAGGGTATTTCTCTTTAGGGTCCAAAGTAGAGCAAAGGATGTCTTACTAGTTTTACCTCCTACTTCCCCTTGTGGTCCCTGAACTCCAACATTTAATTTTCTGGCTCCTTGAATATTGCAAAAATGCTAATAAACCTCTCAGCCTCTCTGCTGCTCCTTCTAGAACTGGCTATGTTCCCCAGATGAAAAGCAGTCCAAATACAGGGTTCATCTTTTTGGGTTTCCATTTTATTTTAGATCTTAGCCTAGACATTCCCCCTTCTCTTGCTGGTTCTCCAAGGTCTTTCTTTAAAATATTTTTTTCTGCTCAGCTTTCTCAAAAAAATTATCCTTAGTGGAAGGGATTGTCTAGTTACCTGGTCTGCTATCCCAGATTTGCACTTTAGAGCTGCCTTTCCATGATACTCAGGTATGTTGAAAGATAAGATGTCATATTGCCAAACATTGTTCCCAGAAGTTTCCCATTCCCCTCTCCCATCTCCTCATGCCCATAGAGACAGAAGGTAAAGCTTCCATCACCCATAGCAACTATGCCTACAGATAAAACTGTCAGGGCCAGATCCTGAACAATTCTGCTTCCTGAAATAGTTTGGGTCACTTTTGAGATCTTTGGGCCACCAACTCTTGAACACTCCTTAACTCTTT